CTTCCAAAAGAGGACACGACTAGAAATCAGTGGTTAAGTTGTATTTACAACACTGTTATAGAACAGTTCAACCCAAATATTCAGATGTGTCCAGCGCATTTTATGGAGGACTGTTTCCTGATCCTGGTAGAGTAGACTAAAACGCCGACTGTTCTGACTCACAGACTGTAAGTACATTTTTTATATTTAAAGAATTTGCCACTGATGATTCAAATGTGAGTTTTGAGCAGTGTAGAGTAGCACTTGTTTGTCATTTCTCCGATCACAAATGCAGAAATGGTTTCATGTTTACGCGGCGCGATGCAACGCGTAAAAAGACAGTATAAGTCATTATAATCCGTAATTATGTCCCCACTGGATGCAACAAATGCCTCGTTTATAATGGGTTTTAATGTTTTTGTCTCGTTGCTCCGGCCGGACGGGATCACAGTATGGTGAGGGGCGTAACATTTCCGTCACACGCTTGAGGTATTCGGCCAATCACAACGCACTGGACAGCTGGCCAATCAGAGCACACCTTGCTTTTCAGACCGATGCGATTTGTTAAATCGACGTGTTTCAGAAAGGCGGGGCATAGAGGAGAAACAATAATGTACAGTATGTGGAAAATAATGTGTTTTTTGAACCTTAAACCACAAACACATTTAATTACACCAAATAATGTTCTTTTTAGCAGCATCATATGACCCCTTTAATATGTTACCATAGATATTGCCCTACCCTGACATACAGTATTCATTTTATTTGTGCAGGTCTTAAAAAAAAAACTTACATTTTATTTTAAAATACTGCAGATACCCTGTGAATTCTTAATTTTTTTTACATTTTATAATTTATAAACTGTATGTTGGTATAAACTGCAATGTTATATGCAATCCAGATAGTTGTTTTTTAATAGCACAATAACATCTGATTTAAAGTGAAGAACTCAAGTATGTAGGCTATGTAAACATGTAATTTACCACAGTTGTAAAGTGCTGGAAAATCTTAAATGCACCTTGAAAGTGCTTGAATTTTACTTTGGAAAAGGTGTAAGAACCCTGAACCTAACACCAAAACTGAGCAATTATGTGGATATTTGTGTGCATTAAAGTAATTTCCTCCTGATTATTTTCATTTTTCCTTTGTATTCCACTGTAACAATAAGAAAAAAGACAACATGTACTGTGCATTTGTGGTCTACTCTCCCAATTTAATCTACGATATATTCAATGAATAATTCACTGGAATGCATGCAAGAATATCTCGTTACTCCCATAATTTGCATGAAGCATCATAGGGCATACTTACAGTATGAGGCATAATACATATATAGCAAGGATCCATATGGCTGGATGTCATCCAGTCTATAAGCTACTGCTGGCTCATAATTCTACAGCCTTCTAGGTCTTTCCTGATTATAATTTTTGTACGATATAAACCAACCCTCCATTTAGTCAGATCATGTTCTCTCAGATTGTAATAGATTTAGAACAAACAGGATCTGTTAAACATAGATATATAATATATGGCAAGGAAGAATATTCATGTGTGTAATATGTGACATACAATTTAAGCTCAAAATGTTTTTGAATTGAGTCATTAAAATCACCATTGATTCACTTAAGGTTTTATCAAATAAATAAATATTGATTAGCAAAATGTGAGAAACAGAATGCGATCACATTGCCGTTTATTCACCTGTCTCTCCTGCTGCGCCCTTTTCTCCTGCTCCTCTCTTCTCTTCTCTTTAAGCTCCTCATACTTCTCCTTGGTGGGGAGCGACGTCAGTCCCAACAGTTTCTCCTACAGGTGTAAGTGTTGAACAGACAATTTGAGCTTCCACATTTATATAGTTTTACCCACAGGTTTATAAACCTCTTGCAGATTTGAAAAATGTCAATAAACATTTCACCTGTATAAAAAGTGTAGCTGTGTAGCGCACCATCCTTTGCAGCTGCAGGGCTTTCGGGTGAGGCTGGACCTCATCTTTCAGTCCGAGTGCGAGTATCTTCTTACTGATGCCAAAACCCCCCACAGAAATGCATTCTGTGAATCCTGATTTAGATATGTCCGTCACATCACAGTATGTGTCTTTAGTCTGTTGCCTACCTCAGAACATCAATGAGCTCATAGTATTTCTGTATCTCCATCCTCAGTGCAGCAGCATTCTCTAGATTACAGGTCTTCTCCCCAGCACTACACAATACAGAGAAAACTTGAGTCTGGCAATGTTTGGGATGTGGCATTAGGCATGAATGCAAAAGCACCACAAATGTGACCCTGGACCACAAAACCAGTCATAAGGGTCAATTTTTTGAAACTGAGATTTATACATCATCTGAATAAATAAGCTTTCCATTGATGTATGGTTTGTTAGGATAGGACAATATTTGGCTGACATACAACTATTTGAAAATCTGGAATCTGAGGGTGCAAAAAAATCTAAATATTGAGAAAATCGCCTTTAAAGTTGTCCAAATGAAGTTGTTAGCAATGCATATTACTAATCAAAAATTAAGTGTTGATATATTTACAGTAGGAAATTTACAAAATATCTTCATGGAACATGATCTTTACTTAATATCCTAATGATTTTT